TCTTTCCCTTTCTAGTTTAAGGGTTTCACTGAGAATATTTCTCAGTACCAAATGTTTTTCAATGGCAGCACTCTTTAGTTATCACTACAACAGCATGTTTAACATGAATGAGCAGCAATAGTTTTACCACTCTCTTGCTCCCTACTCTTCGGAGGAGGGAGCTGAGTGCATGTATTTCTCTAGTAAGTGTGTCCAAACTAGGAGATACACAGCCTAGAATTAGATTCTGTGTCACACATGTATGATCCATTACATACACATGCCCATCCAATAACACAGAAGGCTCAAAGTAGCTTAAAAGCACCACTTTGCTTACTTTATCTGAAGATCATATAATTTATGATTTAGTTACTCTGAGGCTGCATTTAGCATGCCCCCCCATCACTACACAATTACCTGGTTCCTGTAGATAGCCAGTAATCAACAGCACTTCAATCAGGCACTAAAACAGGAATTCTAGGAGCATGGAGGAAGAGAAGCAGTAAACAGGCTAAGGCACAGCTATTCTGGCAGTGCTGTACCACTCCTACTCTCCTTCCTCTCCCCAACAGAGCCAAAGATCAGACATTATATGAGAATATAGCAGGACTATGAAAAATATTTGGGTCTCTGAAAGGTTCCACTACGAAGGAGATTCAACTTTCGCAGACTTGAAAATAAGTGGCAGGCATTTCCCTCAAAACAAACTGGTAAATCACAGATTCCTGCACAAAGTAATCTTCTATTTGATATCTCCACCCTTCTCCGCCTGGCATACAAAGGGAAAACATCTACCTGCCAGGTCCCTACAGCTAGCAGCAGCTGGGAACATCCCACACACCATAAACACCTTACCTACTCCATGTGCTTAGCCAGCAGACAACAGAACCCCTAAGAGGGACTGGATAAGAGCCAGCCTATGTTTATATCTGCATAAGCACCCTATCACCCTGACCAGCAGCTAATTTTAACAGGGTGAAGTCTGACAAGAGAAGTGTACCAACCTGCAATAGTTCAGCTGTTTTCACTGTTAACCCTGTGATCTGCTGCATTCGTTGATTCACCTTGGCCACAACAGGATCATCATCTTCTTCCAACCATGAGCTAGGAAAAGGGAAGGATTGAAACATGTTAGTTTGGAATACCAACCACAAAAACCCATTTCGCAAGGCAGAAGGATTCTTCTGCCCGTAGTCAGATGGCTAAAAGAGCCATTTACCATGCATTTGTTGTGCAAGCTTTTGCTACATGCAAAGCACTTCAAGTTTTCAGCTGTAGGTAGCAGATGACAGCTGTTAAGCACAAAAACCTTAAAGCTAAACTCTTCTCTGCTTACCTTTTTGATACCCTGTAGCTAGCCACTGTAAGGACACCGGTTTTGGGATCACGTACTGTGGCGCGTGCCAGCTGTGTCAAAAAAAATCCCAAGGGGGAAGAAACACATCAACTACAGATTAGAAAAAATTCTCATCTTAACCAAAATCAATACCCAATTTGTCCAACTTCAGTATATCACTGGATGAAAGTTATAGCTCCAGCGTACAGTTGGTTCGGATTTCATGCTAGAACAATACATGCAGAACACAAGTGCAACCCATCACCTGCATTCGATCCTGGAAAAAGTATTTGCCTGACTGCCCAAGCCATGATATTCATTAAATCCACAAGTACTGCTTGCTGAACAGGTTTTGAAGGTACTTTTTTAAACAGCTGGAGTCAATATTAGCAAGAGAGAACAACAACAAAAGTTAACAACATATGAAGCCCAAGTTCTTGGCAAGAAAAAATCATTGGATACTCCATAAATTTAATCAGCCTGCTCCTTGTGTTGACTGAAAAAAAACCCAACCTCATTCTTAGATGAAAAATAACAAGTGAAAACTTCTATGGAATGAGTTACAAATCATGGGGCAGGCAAATCCACAATGGTAGAAAACCCCTGAGGGTAACTCTCAACATTACCGTGCTCAGATTTCCCAGTTGGAAGACACCTGGAACATCTAATTCACAGAGACAGTTTGAGATAATGTTACTGCATTATGAAGGTAACTCTGCAAAAGCACAGCTCACCCACACATTTTAAACAGCAAGTAATACATCCTCACCATTAGGCCGTATCACCATATTGGTAGGAAAGATTTGGAACTTGGCAAAACTGATCAGATTTGCTGTGGTGTCAAAACGATAGACTATGGCTAAGCATAACACAACAGGTCACTTTGGTTTTATACTTGCAACTGAGAACAAGAACTGGGACACTCCTTCCTTTGACTGTAAACTCAGACCACATTTAAATTTAACTCCTGCAAACCACAAACACTTCAAGTCATGCCTCCTTCCTTCCACTTAATTATAGGTCACAGAAAGCCTTTTTATTTGCGTTTTCTTCAGAGCATGCAGTCATTATTTCCTTCATTTTTCCTCAAATAAGTCTCCAGCCAGCTTTGCAATCCATGTCAGCTGTCTTGTCCCTATACAAGAGTTCTTGGCACAGCTGTTCCTGTAATTCTGAGTCACTGTTATTTTGTTCCAGATTTCTCCTGCATAAATCATAACTGAAAAGCCAGGCTGACTGAATGTTGTTCTTCACTTGTATAATGGAGCATAGCTTTCAGGATATAATTTAGCTTCCCAAACTTTTCATTCCACTGCCATTTTCAAGCTTGTATATGCTTGATTGATTTCTGCGTCTAGCATTTAATCTAAATAAATCGGAACTAAAATAAGCCTGACTAAATTCATATTATTCCACATCTCCTCTGTATGACGACAACAGAACACTTCTCTTTCTGATAGGCAGGCTTCTTCATTTGAGACATACAATCTATACCTCACTTGGTATAATCAGCTGATAAATGTGAGGCTTCCTCTCTCAGGGTGGAGAGAGCAGCCTTACAACAGGCATTTGCTGGGCTTTGAAGAATCATCATAACACTGGATTGGTCGGAGGCTTCAGCCAGTCTTCCTCTTCGAGTCTGCATTTAGTTTAGCATGCACTCCATTGGCTTTTCCTTCTGAAATTCTGTATTTCCGAAATCCTATAGCACTGAGTTCAAAAGATATTCATGTGTCCCCCTCCATGCCATACTTCTGTCTGTTCAGGAATG